GTCTCACTGGAATATCAAAGACACATGACGAAATAATGTCAACTTGATCAGAGACACACTAGCAAATTTTGAGTTGATCAGAGACACATGAGCAAATGTTGAATTAATCAGAGACATACTAGCAAATAATAATGACTTGATCAGAGGCACACTAGTAAATAATGTTGACTTGATTCAAGACACACTCGTAAATAATATGGACTTGATCAGAGACACACAAATTAAATAATTTTAACTTGATCAGAGACACACAATTAAATAATGTTAACTTGATCAGAGACACACAAATAATGTTAACTTGATCAGAGACACACAAATAATTTTAAACATGATCAGAGACACACAATTAAGTAATGTTAACTTGATCAGAGACACACAAATAATTTTAACTTGATCAGAGACACACAATTAAATAATTTTAACTTGATCAGAGACACACAATTAAATAATTTTAACTTGATCAGAGACACACAATTAAATAATGTTAACTTGATCAGAGACACACAATTAAATAATGTTAACTTGATCAGAGACACACAAATATTTTTTACTTGATCAGAGACACGCAATTAAATAATGTTAACTTGATCAGAGACACACAAATAATTTTAACTTGATCAGAGACACACTAGCAGATTATGTTAATTAGACCACAGATACAATAGAATAGAATATTAGCAGGCTTAGTACTTTCTCTTTGTTCCTCACCTCAGCATTAACATAGTGTAAATGTTTGCACTGGCTGATACCATCAATACAGACAAGATGGCAGTGAGTGACAGTCAGGTACCTCAGTGACCAGCACTGACCCAAAGTGGCGAGAGAACACCCCGGGAGGTCATAGAGTGTCACAGATGAGACCTGGGACAAGTAATGAATGAAACTTTAATATTTTGGTGACACCATCAATATAAACTAAATTACTGCTGTTGCATTGCCTTGTGTGGCTATGGGTAATGGAAGGTAGCAGTGGTGTGATGTGGCTGTAATGGGATGGCAGTGATGGGGGTGCAGTGATGGGATGTTGCTATGATGGGATGTTGCTATGATGGGATATTGCTGTGATGGGATATTGCTGTGATGGGATAAGGCTGTGATGGCAGGTGATGTGGCAGTAATGGGAAGTGGCTGTGATGGAATGTGGCTGTGATGGTGGTGGCCGTGATGGAATGTGGCTGTGATGGTGGTGGCCGTGATGGAATGTGGTTGTGATGGTGGTGGCCGTGATGGAATGTGGCAGTGATGGTTGTGGCTGTGATGGTGGTGGCCGGGAGGGAATGTGGCTGTGATGGTTGTGGCTGTGATGGAATGTGGCTGTGATGGAATGTGGCTGTGATGGGATAAGGCTGTGATGGCAGGTGATGTGGCAGTAATGGGAAGTGGCTGTGATGGAATGTGGCTGTGATGGTGGTGGCCATGATGGAATGTGGCAGTGATGGTGGTGGCCGTGATGGAATGTGGCCGTGATGGAATGTGGCTGTGATGGAATATGGTTTTAACGGGATGCTTCAGAAAAGGGAGGATTTTTTAAGATGTAAATCAAATCATCAAATTTGGTGGTGAACGTTTAAATACCTGCTTCACGCAGTTAGTTTTGATCCTTAGCGACATCGTGTAACTAAAGTGGTTATGTCATGTAATACCATAGGAGTAACAGGGCCTTAATTCTAAAAAAGATGATAAGTCAATTGACATATTTCAACCGTTTCGTTATGTCCACCGACCTGTCTCAGAGTCTCAGCGTGCGCTGCTGTCAGGACCACAGACTCGGCGATGGGTGCCAGTTTCTTTTTGGCAGATACCGGTCTTTTTTGGACCTTCTGGCCCGACTGGACCACGAGTTTCCATGGCTCGTTACTAACTTTGCTGTAAAAATGTTACATTTCACATGAATGAATGGTTGACTTGATTACACTTGGCATATTTTACTAACCAATTCTTAATGCTGGCAAGAATTTTACTGTTAGGAATTTAGACATAAATTAAACTGTTTTATATTAAAGATATTTTTTCTAATTTTCATTAAGTAATTTTAATTACAAATAAAAGTTCTCAAGTTAGAAAAAAAAAGTCAGTTATATTCCAAAAACATTACTCAAGGAGCATCATTTTAAATTTGAATGACTTTTTAAGTTTGTTACCTAATTATGACCAGTTTCTATACCGGTTCCTATAGAGATTGTTAACGTTAGATATTGCTATCTTTTCAACTGATATGCCATATTTTTTTAGTTTTTTAAAAATTGTTTGATAATTGGATTTGAAAACTGGTCTAAAGGGGGAAAAAAAGCAATTAAAAAAAAAAAAAATTAGACAAATAATAAAGCCAGCTACTTGCCGGTTATTTGTATGAATTAAGAGAGCAATGCAATGGCAAGATTACCTCCATGGTGTGCAGGATTTGATCCACGCCAGTCTTTGAACTTCTGCTGGGTGCGGCATATGCTGCTGCTCTGCCAGGGATGGCGGTGGTGGTGGCATAGGCTGTGGTGGCGGTGGAGCTGGACGGGGTGATGCGGATGCTGTCTTGTGGGTGGGAGGAAAGTCGGGTGGGCGGGGTGAATGGCTTGCCACTGTGGGCACGGCTGCGGGGAGTTGATGGGGTAGTTGAAGGCCTGGCTTGTGAGGTTCGGTCCCGTCTTCTTGTCGTACCCAATCACCTTCCTGCAGAGAAGCCCGGTCAACAGCTTGTATCACGGTTCCACCGTCATGGGGAGGCTGAGGTTCAGGAACTGACATGTCTCCAGCACTACCTTCTGTCAGCTCTAACTTACTCCTCAGGGCCGCTTCTTTATTTTTAAGCTCCTCTGATTTCCTTCTCCTCTCTTCTTCCTCTCTCATTTTCTCTGCTTCCTCTTTCAGTTTTTTCTCCTCCTCTTTCTTTCTCTTTTCTTCCAACTTCCTTTCTTTTTCTTCCTCCTTTTGGCGTTTCTTTTCCTCTTCCAGCCTCTTTTTTTCTTCCTTCTTTCTTTCTTTTTCTTCCTCCTTCCGACGCTTCTCTTCTTCTTTCCTTATTTTCTCTTCTTCTTTCTTTCTCTCCGCCTCTAATCTCATCTCTTCTTTCTTCCTCTCCTCCTCTAATCTCTTCTCTTCTTTCTTCCTCTCTGCCTCCTTTCTTGTCTCCTCGGCTAGCCTCTCCTCCTCCTCTCTCCTTCTTAACTCTGCCTCTTGTTGTCTCTCTTCCTCCTCTTGCCTTCTCTTCTCCTCAGCTTCTTTCTTTGCCTGCTCCTCTCTTTTCCTTCATAAAAAAAGCAAAAACATTGGCACAGTTAACAAACCGATCCAGACGCATTCAATACTTCAGTAAAATTGGTCCAGTAAACAAATATATAAATACAAACTGATCCAGAAGAATTTAATACTTCAATAACATAGGCCCACTTAACAAATATAGAAATACAAACTGATCCAGAAGAATTCAATACTTCAATAACATAGGCCCACTTAACAAATATAGAAATACAAACTGATCCAGAAGAACTTAATCCTTCAATAACATAGGCCCACTTAACAAATATAGAAATACAAACTGATCCAGAAGAATTTAATACTTCAATAACATAGGCCCACTTAACAAATATAGAAATACAAACTGATCCAGAAGAATTTAATACTTCAATAACATAGGCCCACTTAACAAATATAGAAATACAAACTGATCCAGAAGAATTCAATACTTCAATAACATAGGCCCACTTAACAAATATAGAAATACAAACTGATCCAGAAGAACTTAATCCTTCAATAACATAGGCCCACTTAACAAATATAGAAATACAAACTGATCCAGAAGAATTTAATCCTTCAATAACATAGGCCCACTTAACAAATATAGAAATACAAACTGATCCAGAAGAATTTAATCCTTCAATAACATAGGCCCACTTAACAAATATAGAAATACAAACTGACCCAGAAGAGTTTAATACTTCAATAACATAGGCCCACTGAACAAATATAGAAATACAAACTGATCCAGAAGAATTTAATACTTCAATAACATAGGCCCACTTAACAAATATAGAAATACAAACTGACCCAGAAGAATTTAATACTTCAATAACATAGGCCCACTTAACAAATATAGAAATACAAACTGATCCAGAAGAATTTAATACTCCTATAACCATTGCACATTAAAGAAAAGGGATTTTAATATGATTTCGGGACTGAATTGGGAAATAAAGATGGGACATTTGTCATGACATAAACTACATGAATATCTACATAACAACCTTGGATCTACTTTTTCCCTTTGGTTATACATTTATATGTTAGTTTTCATACAACTTATTTGCATAATTGCATTTAAAATGTGTATTGTTATAATTTATGCACCCATCTTCATTGGGGGGGGGGGAGCCAGATTAAAAACCTTCAGTGTTATTTAATCAATAAGAGGGCATTTGTAAAATAGGGCAATCAAATTGAAAATGGGCAGAAGCGTAGGGGGGGGGGTGACAAAAACGCAATTAGAATTTACAACTTTTTTGGACCCATGGAATGGCCAAGAAAATGGCTAAGAATATGACCAACAACATGTTCAAAGAAAATGGCCAAACAAAAATGTGAATTATAAAAAACGTTTAAAAAAATTAAAAAATATTTAAAGGTCGAGATCTTTATTACATCTGTATTTTTTAAATTAAAACTTTACATTGCGTTCATTAGACACCACAAAATATTTCAGCAAACCACCCCTAAACAAACTTGAAGAATCTTAGCTCAAGTGTAACGCTTAAAACTAAAAAACAAATTACCTGAACCAAAGTCACATGATCTAAAATCATTTTTTTTTAATACTACCCCAACCAATGTCACATGATCTAAATTAAATTTTAAAAATAACCCCAAACAATGTCACATGATCTCAGCTTTCTGACTTTCTAGTTGAACAAGTTTTGCATAGAGCTAAATGAAATATGATTGGAGGTCGAGGGACATGTCACAAGGCAGTCCCCCTTTCAACTGCTCTCTGCGGCATACACAAAAAAAGGCTCTCACTTCCTGTCTTGCTCTGTCGTGTATTTCATCTGGTACTCGACCTCCAGCACCCTCAGCTTGTATCTTTCATTTTTGCGCAACGTCTTCATCTCTTCCAGGTCTTTCATTGTCGCAGACATCGCCCTGCGTGTCCTGGAGAAGTTAAAAATTATAATCATACATAGATTGGCCTGAGGGTAAATCCAATCAAGGCAGGACGATAAATATGGGCCCCTAAGTGTTTCATGCAATGCAAAGTACAGCAAACATAATTATTAGAAGAGAAGGACAACAAAATTTGCACTTTAGGGTATATCAGCATGGAGTGACCCCCCCCTCCCCCCCCCCCCCCCCCACAGACACCTTCCCAGACACCTCTGGATGAAAGGGCCAGGAATGTCCCCTGCCTTGGGCCATAAGTTTTGAACTTGTCAGGTTTACATCCCTGACACTGGAACATTTAATTTAAGAACTATGTTTGAGCTGTTCACACCCACCACAGACAACTTATAATTCCCAACACACACGTGTCCCCAACACACAACCTGTCCCCAACACACACACCCTGTCCCCAACACACAACCTGTCCCCAACACACAACCTGTCCCCTACACACAACACCTCCCCTACACACACCTGCCCCCACCACACACCACCCCCCACCACACAACCAATCCCCAACACACACCCAACCCCCACACACACACCCTGCCCCCCACCCACCACCTGTCCCCAACACACAACGTGTCCCCTACACACAACGTGTCCCCTACACACACCTGTCCCCAACACACACCTGTCCCCAACACACAACCTGTCCCCAACACACAACCTGTCCCCAACACACAACCTGTCCCCAACACACAACCTGTCCCCAACACACAACCTGTCCCCAACACACAACCTGTCCCCAACACACACCCTGTCCCCAACACACACCCTGTCCCCAACACGCTCCCCGTCCCCAACACGCACCTTGGATCATTTATTTTGCAGTGGATTAATTTAGGCTATTAGCATAACTCAATTTGTTTACGTTCACCATCATTGGCTAATGCCATCATTTGTTAAATTACAGTCACGCTCACCCACCAACACCTAGAACTTCATATCAACTAATTCACATCGGTCACGATCGTCAGTATTATTTTTACACCTCACATAACACAATTGAGCCCTGATTCTTTAAATCATAAATTTACACTGAGCCCAGTGGAGAAAAAAATTATGTAGGTGAATTCAATTTGAAGTGGTTAAAAAAGCATTGGTTAAATTTATTTATCAAAACATAACTAAATATATTCGGATTCCCAGGAAACACGAAAATTCACATTGGAGACAAATTAGGTGATAAGTTTTCACCTTAACTATTTCAAAAAGCATTTTAGGTAACCATCTTTAAAATGTTATCAATTCAAACCATGTATATTAAAAAGGGGTCGAGAATCCCTGTCACCAAAACAAAGGGTTCCCCAACCCCGTTTGCCATGAATCCCACCTGTAACCTCTGTATCTTCGTTGAATCGCTAAAGCCGCATGACTTCTTGTGGCCTCCAGTGACATGAGCCAGTGGCTGTGCTCTGCTTCATACCGAGTTTTTTCAGCCTCCAAGTCTTCCGACAATTTCTTTATTTCTGCCTGTGAGATAGACACCGAATCTTGTGCTTTAGAATACAAGACCAACCCATACAAAATGATTTATACCATTGTAATTATACCAGTATAATTATTTATACAAGTGTAATTATTTTTACCAGTATAATTATTTTTACCAGTTAATTATTTATACCAATGTAATTATTTATACCAATGTAATTATTTATACCATTGTAATTATTTATACCAGTATAATTATTTATACCAGTATAATTATTTATACCAATGTAATTATTTATACCAGTATAATTATTTATACCAATGTAGTTATTTATACCATTATAATTATTTATACCAATGTAATTATTTATACCATTGTAATTATTTATACCATTGTAATTATTTATACCAATGTAATTATTTATACCAATGTAATTATTTATATCAATGTAATTATTTATACCAATTTAATTATTTACACCAATGTAATTATTTATACCAATTTAATTATTTATACCAATTTAATTATTTATACCAATGTAATAAAGACTGCTGGCTGGATTATTTTTTTAAATTTAAATTTTTATATTGGGGTCTTTATGAAACAGAATTTCAATTTGATACAGTGTATTTCTTTTTGCTCTTTGTAAATTATTTCAACTTGAGGTTGCTGGGACGTAGGTTTGTGAGTATGCCAATTATTTTAATTTGAAAAGACAATTCAGAGAAGATCTCTGTTTGTTTTTAAATCCCACACATCTCATGGTGCACATCTTTTCTGTCAATTTTTTCTGGGTGTGCCGCTCCGTTGGCTTACCTGCAGGCAGACAGTGCCACCTTGCAGCGGATTCTAACAACAACATTGTTAAGTGTCGTCCAACTATGGTCCACAGATACAATTTTTGTTGCTACAATCACATGAACTTGAAACTCTATTGAATTTTTTTTTTTACTGAACTTTCTTTCAATCATCATCTTTAAATTATTGCTATTCAACAAAGCTTCAAAATTGTTGAAAATATAAGAAAATAAATGGCTGCAAAAAAAACAACAAAACAACGAGTTAAAAATTTGCCAGTTTGTAAAGCTTTAAATAACAGCACACTGCAGGCACTGAAAAACGTTACTTGGGACCCCGTCATAGACTGCCATCAGGGTCACTGTGACCTATCACTACAAACCTGGTGGTAGCTCAGCTCTTGGGCCAACTGGTCATCTAGAACTTTCAGCTCCCCCTCCAGCCTCCCTTGTTGGCACTTCTCTCTCTCCCTCAGAGCCGCCTCTTCTCCCTCTCGCTCCAAATGTAATTTGTTTTTCCTCTCCTCCTCCACCAGAGTCCACTTCTCCTCCTCCTGCTTGTGCCTCTCGATGGACTGGAACCAGTTAAAAAAAAAAGCCAAATTTACACCGCCGGAACCAATTCTTATCCACCAGTCTCTCCAGCACATTCAGCCCATCAATATCAGAGGTGGGTCTCTCCAGCACATTCAGCCCATCAATATCAGGGTCCTCAAGATTAATATATCTACGGAGTTTTAAAAAATTACAAAACGACTTTGACATTTAAAAACCCATTAGTCAAGACTCTCAGGTTTCATTGTGCCCTGTGCTACTCATTATTATTACTAGCCAGAGTCAGCCCCAAACAATGACGGCTGTAATGCATGAACTTCCCATCTACTAAAATTACTCGACAAAACATGCATTCAAGTATACACTTACTAAGATTCCCCACAAGTGATACAAACACCACCCCCCACCCCCCTCCTCACGTACGCCACAGGCCCTGAATTACATTAATATTCTTCCAATTCCCAATAACTATTTATGCTACAAAAGCAAACGCAGTATGTTTAAGAATCTCATTTAGCCCAGTTGTCTGGAATATTTGCACAGTGAAATCAGTGTTGGCGACATCGTTACACAGGGAATAATGTCAGCACAAACAGGTAAGATTAGAATGTCTATTAACATTTCAAGGAAAACAAACATTTTTAAACAGAAAATGCAGACTACAGATAAGTAAATACAAATGTAAAGCTTTGTTTGACAATTTTTTTATGAAAGTTCAGCACTTTTAAAATAATGAAAAAATGTATTGAAATTTTTTATTTTTTTTAATCGAATTGTGTTTATATTCCTATAGAAATTTTAACATCTTTTTAAAACAAAATTAAACAGAGCAACTGACAAAAGGGAACCTCCCAAAAATGCAATTAAATTTGAGCTATTTGGGTTTCAGAGCAAAGTTAACATAGAATAAACATATCTTGACAGGTCCACTTACCTCCACCAGGTTTTGTTGCCTGGTATGGAAACCTTCTTCTGTTTTTCTCAACTGTTGATGAATGAAATCTCTCATACTGGACAGTGCTGCCATGGAAACTAAAGGGCCAGCTAATGAGGGTATAGGATAGTAAAGTTGAATGCAAGGACACAGAGGGCAAGATGACCACTGAATATCACAGGGCAGTGGTGTAACCAAACTTTCAACAACAAAAAATCTACAAAAAAATTTTAAAAAATAAAAAAAATAAAAAGTTAATTTATTTCGTTTGTGTCTATGTACTGTAATGATCAGCTTAAGTTGAGGAAAGTGGAAGTTCCTCGGAAAACAGGGAAAGTCACAACTCCAGCATGAAGACTATATGAAAATCTCAAGAAATATTGATGAAACCAGCTGAAAATATTTAACTCAAATGTAATCTTTTCAGCAGCAATAACAGCAAAGAAATAACAGCAGGGTTTTGTCAAGAATAGTTTGAACAGGATCTGATTTAAAAATTTATGATGTGACAGGATTCTGAGTTTGTTCATTTAGGGGACAAAATATTAATGTGATGATGCAGGAACTACAAAAACATTGGAAATGTGCACATATAGACAAAGCTCTTGCTAGCAATGTGCACATATAGACAAAGCTCTAGCTAGCAATGTGCATACATAGACAAAGCTCTAGCTAGCATTGTGCACACATAGACAAAGCTTTTGCTAGCAATGTGCACATATAGACAAAGCTCTAGCTAGCATTGTGCCCACATAGACAAAGCTCTAGCTAGCAATGTGCATACATAGACAAAGCTCTTGCTAGCAATGTGCCCACATAGATAAAGCTTTATCTAGCAATGTGCATACAGATGTAGTGGAGGTTTACTTCCCTTGGGTTCTGGGCAGTGCCAATGCAGAGGTGGATTAGTTTGGAGGCTGGTACATGATGTGGACAGCTGCAGCTAGTGCACCAGCCCACCAATGACAAAAAACTGAAACAGTCATTTGCACAATTGGGTTGACTAACGGCTATTCCATCCTAGAGACAACCTGAAATCACTCTGATGTGGGCCACCCTGACTCCACCTCCCCCCAAACTTCCCTGGGGTGGATTAATAAGGTTGTAAAATTAAATCAACTCCAACCAATAGGAAGAGTTCAAAACTTTTAATGTCTGGCAAAAGGGATGAGGGGGGGAGGGGGAAGAATCAAGGACAACTCACTGATTGAGGGTGTGATGTCAGGCCTGCCTTGTGGAGAAACAGGCTGTAAGGAAAGGGGGGGGTGGGTTGTTGGGTGGTAGGATAATGCAGAGGTTCATGCCGCCGCCCACCATTTTCATTGTGCTCTTTGCAATCACAGTTAAAGAATGGGGAGAGACAACTGTGCACGTACATCCTATCGGCAAACCTTTGTTTTCTGTATCTGAAATGGCCAGCCTGTGCTCTCGCAGATACCTCAAGGCCAACGAGCTGCTAATCTCGCCAGTATCATCGTTAGCATTGTTGATGTTTTCGTCACAAGAAGCCTAAAGACAACAAAAGTTTCTTTTGTTAAAACAATGCAGAAAAAAATAGTTTTTTTTCTAACTATTGACATTAGAATTGATGAGACATGTTTAGTATATTGTTGAGACATGTTTGGTATATTTGTGAGACACGTTTGGTATATTTTATACTTTGTTCACTTCCCTTTTTTTTTGTCATTGAATGACAAACAATGTAGCAGAAAATTTAACAGCTTAATAAAATTATATTATTTTAAAACTTGAGCATTTGTTCTGATGGATGTGTAACAAAGGACAAGACACAAAGAAAGAGTGGGAGATATCAGTATTTTAACAAACAAGGTTTTAACATATTATTTTAACACGTTAAAAATGTACCTCTATGGCTAACAGTTCATTTTCATCATTTCTATGCATGGTTTCATAAATGTCTGCTGTCATGTCCGCCAACTCCTTCTGCATCTGAGTGAATTCCTCATACTCTCTGTCCATCATCTCTTCACTGAAGTCATCAGTTTCCAAATCTTTCAAAATCTGGAGCAGCATACAACATCGAATGTTATGGAAAATGACGCAAACCACATCAAATGTATTGGATATAGCAGCTTAACCATCTTTAAATTAAATGATAAAGAATTGTAACTTATGTTAAAATTCTATTTTCTCTGACATCATCAAATATATGAATGCTGCTCTTCACCTTGTGTTTAAACTCTTCAACTGTCATTCCTGCCTCCGCAGCGGCATCTGCCAGCAGTTTTGCATCATCATAGGGCATAACAGCATTACTTGGTGCTTTAAGTAAAATGAAATGTGGTTCGTATAATTCATAACACATACAGTATTCCAATTTTAAAAAGTCATTTATTTCCTGAATACTTCAGTTAGCTATTTGGACCCCAAAATGATTCTGGAATTGAACATTTGAATTTTAGGAATCAGTTCACCTCAAACTTAAGGTAAAATATTGTTTCCATTGATTTAATGACAAGTCTTAGCGGTAATGGTTAAATGGATTTTATTTTTAAAATGAAATAGCAATTTGAAATTTTAAAATGTCAAATATTCAAATTTGTCAGTATAACAAATATTCTAAAAAATGTAATCATTATTAATCATGGACATACAAAATAAGGTGAAAATGTGTTACTAAAAAGTAATTACAATACTTGCTCAGCAGTCTTTAAACAATTTTATTATCATATAATTTTAAAATTTCAATTTCCAACTTTTAAAAATAATGAAATTGTTCACCTTTTTCCTGATTTAGTGAATCTTTCAGGAATTCATCACAAAGTAGCAGTTCTTTTTCCAGCTGTGCTGACTGACTCTCAAGAGTTTTCACATAATGTCTGACTTCAGGAGGCAGCTCCTAATGACATTCATCAGCATGTTTATGTTTTAATGGAGATTTTCCCACCACATACACATGACTATAAAACTCTGGAATTTTCTTATTTTCAAATTATACATTTTTTTGTGTCTCTCTAAGACAAAGATTGAAAAAAACATTTTTTATAACTTATTTTTATACAATTATTCCGTTTTTTTTTTAATTTTAAAAATTATTTATATAGAGTAATCTAGTAAAACCACAAAAAAAATCATAAATCTTTTTCTTCATTTTTTAATGTTTTTCTTTCCTTAACTTTTTTTTTGGGGGGGGGGGGGGGTGGGGGGGGGGGCTTAAGATTCTGGATTATTCCTAAAGATATAAATGTAAATTAACTGGAAAGACTGCAGCGCTTTTACATGTTTCAGTTTGAGCCAACATCAACCAGCTCTGGATTAATTAAACCTAAACATCTTGGTTTCCAGGCAGACAGTGTTAGCAATTAGCCAAAGGTCTCCCCTGGTATTCAAATTAAAATTGTAGCGCCACTGATGATGTATATTTTTTTTTAAACTTCCTTGTCCTGATAATTTTAAACGTACAAAGTTAACAAGTATAACATGTTAGATAAAAAAAAATTATTATTACTATTATCCCTAGCCCCAGTTACTTGCAATACTTACATCATTGTTCAATTCATTATTATTGTCAAGTTCATTGGGTCCATTCAGTGGGGCTATAAGATCCTGGTCATCATCACCATCTTCATCAAAATTATCATCAAGATGATCATTAAAATCCATTTGTTGCAACTCCTCCTCCATCAAGGCATCTATTGAGGTTTCAACATTAGCAGATCCAGTAGTATGCATGATTTTTTCTTCGGATTTCGACATCTTAGATTTAGATTTTAAAAAGTTAAAAAGTAATAAGACATTTTTGCTAATACTAATATAGATAAGGCTAATTCTGTCATTCAGACTTTCACTGTGAGTAGTTATTAAAAAGAATTAAGTTAAGTCATAAGTTACGTGTTAGTTTATGTATGTAGTTTCAATACAAATCAAACTTTAACGACTACAACTACAGTAGTTTACAGTTACAGTTTCAGTTACAGTTTCTGAGAGAAGTAAGAAATGCGACATAACTTAATAACTATGCTAAAGAATAGTAAAAAACACTTGTTATAATTTTATGGCTAATATTTATATTTGAAAACGTTTTGAAACAAAAAATTTGAATATTTACATGATTTTGTGGGATTTTCTCTAATCAAAACAAAAATCACGTACATAACACTGCGGCTTCAACCATATTGTTTATGCTGTTGGTATGCGGAGATGTCAAAATATGCATCGGAAATGTATTTCATAAAAAGTGGAAGTTTTTAAATTATGAAACAAACTAACTTGAGGATGTTGTAACTTTAGATTAACCTACATCGCTTTGTTTGTGGGGGGGGGGGGGGGGGGTGTGAGCATGAATTAAAAAAAGCGAAAATATGACATTTTGTTTACCCATCCCTACCTCTGATAATTTTAGATACATTTCCATTGCCCCCCCCCCTAAACATTCATTTCTTGCACCACCCATGACCACGATCCTGTGCTACAATAAAAAACATCTTTAAAAGCATCTTAAATCAAATAACTTTTACTGTTACTGATAACAAAATGTTTGCCAGAAAAAAAATCCGAATACAATAATTATTGATTTTATTATTTATTTATTTTTTTAAAGAAAGGGAGAAAAATAAAAAGCAAGGAACCATTTTTACCAAAATGTGCTAAGATTCTAATTATAGTTTTATTGTAATAAAAAATACATCTTAGTTTTTAATAAACGAAGCTAATTTCCTAAATTTGAAAAGCCGAAATTTTGCAAAAGTTAGAATTAATTTTAAAATATCAACAAATAAGAAGAGTTATAATATAACATTGCTCCCCGTCACCCCCACCCCATATAACAAAATATAACAAAATGATAAAGCACACCTCCCTTTACCATCCATGACCCACTAGATACAGTATCTGTGTCTAGTATGGGTCATTAGCAGGGGTCTCCAACTCGCGGCCCGCGGGCCATTTGCAGCCCGCAAGACGATATTTTGCGGCCCGATACCTGACAGCAAAGTTCAGTTTTAATGCGGCCCACACGTTTGCCCAAATTATCCTTTCTATAATATGCAGTCTTTGAGGTACTGCTCCTAGCCAACCTCTTTCTCTCCCAGCTGTGGTGCGAGTTAGTCACACCGCAGAACAGCATGTAAACCCTATTATAGGGCGTCTGTTAAACACCTACGCGCGTCCCCCCTAGGTGGGAAGGGGGGGTGGGGCTTTGATGACTAACACTGTCACTCTATGCACGAACACTGTAACACTGTCACTCTATGCACGAACACTGAACACTGTCACTCTATGCACTAAGAATCAGGAACGCTGAATAGTGGAACTTGCAAACACCAACACTTCATGAAATAACACGATTCATCTTTATTCTGCGTACCTGTCGCACAGATCCACCCGGTTTACAATTTCTCCTCCAAGCACCTACACACCCTATTCAAAACACAGGCGCTATCACTCACTGACGTCTCATGAACTCTCTCCGTAATCAATCAACTCGTCCGTGAACTCTCTCGGTCTCACACCGTGTGTTCACAAACTTGTTCATTACGCTATTCCTGTCACCCCATGAGCATTAAGACACAACACTACTACAACTCATAACACAACTCATAACACAACTCATAACACAACTCATAACACAACTCATGGACCAAAAAGGCATTCACACTCACAACAGTGATTCTATTACCCCTGACACCCTACCCCCCTTTCTTCCGGTTCACATGGGCACCCTTCTACCTACCCACTAGGTATACTCTTCATAACAAAACAAACAGAGAGCATCGGGCCATGGAATCACTGTAACAAAATCATGTCACTACTTTAAAAATCATCGGAATTTTATCTTTTAAAAAATTTAAGGCCATCTCATGTTTTTAAAGTTATTTTTAATAATATTTTCACCAAAAAAAAAATAAACTAAACTCGAATCTTAGGCCCCCAATTCATTACAGAACCATAGTCCACAGTTTTCTCCCTAGTCCCTAGTGTTGATAGTCCAAGTACTGGACAATACCACTTTACTTATCCAGAGCCAGTGCTGGGATAAAGTCTACGTTGATCTCAAAGTAGATCATGAGGTCAGTTAGGCAGATTACAATGCGAGAAATGTGGGCGAGCATGTGTGAAATCCAATCTAAGCGGACTGTCTCCCCTCCCCTTTTTTAAACTGACACCCCCTTAATTCAATGTAATCTAACGACGGCCAAGGAATGTGGTGGACAATATGCGCCCCCCCCCCAGCCCCGTGCGGAATAAATGCAGCAATTAAAAAATATATATTATTTATAACTATTTATATATATTTATTACTCGTGTATAACGGAAAGCGACTCCCAACATATCTTATGACTAGATAAAATGGCGCCTCATTATTACAAAATGCGGCGAGGGGTCGATATATTTTCCCAGGCTAAAAAAAAAAAAAAAACTTTACCTTGCAGTAAGCGCCGATTCAATAAGTCATAGGCATGGGCGCCCATGGTCCTAGGGATGGACACCCTTGGTCATAGGGATCAGCGCCCTTGGTCATAGGGATTGGCGCCCTTGGTCATTGGGATGGGCGCCCTTGGTCAAAGGCATGGGCGCACTTGGTCATAGGCATGAGCACCCCTTATCATAGGGATGGGCACCCCTTGTCATAGGCATGGGCACCCCTTATCATAGGGATGGGCACCCTTTGTCATAGGCATGGGCACCCCTTATCATAGGGATGGGCACCCCTTGTCATAGGCATGGGCACCCCTTGTCATAGGCATGAGCACCCCTTGTCATAGGGATGGGCACCCCTTGTCATAGGCATGGGCACCCCTTATCATAGGGATGGGCAACCTTGGTCATAGGCATGGACGCACTTGGCAATAGGCATGGGCACCCTTGTCATAGGCATGGGCACCCTTGTCATAGGCATGGGCACCCTTGGTCATAGGCATGGGCACCCTTGGGCATAGGCATGGACGCACTTGGCAATAGGCATGGGCACCCTTGGTCATAGGCATGGGCGCCCTTGGTCATAGGCATGGGCACCCTTGTCATAGGCATGGGCACCCTTATCATAGGGATGGGCACCCCTTGTCATAGGGATGGGCACCCCTTGTCATAGGGATGGGCACCCCTTGTAATAGGCATGGGCACCCTTGTCATAGACATGGGCACCCTTGTCATAGGCATGGGAACCCTTGTCTTAGGCATGGGCACTCCTTGTCATAGGCATGGGCACCCCTTATCATAGGCATGGGCACCCCTTATCATAGGGATGGGCACCCCTGGTCATAGGCATGGGCACCCTTTGTCATAGACATGGGCACCCTTGTCAAAGGCATCGGCACCCCTTGTCATAGGCATGGTCACTCCTTGTCATACGCAAGGGCACCCCTTGTCATAGCCATGGGCACCACTTATCATAGGGATGGGCACCCCTTATCATAGGCATGGGCACCCTTGGTCATAGGCATTAGCGCCATTGAACATTGGCATGGGCACCCTTGTCATAGGGATGGGCACCCCTTGTCACAGGCATGGCACCCCTTATCATTTCGATGGGCACCCCTTGTCATAGGCATGGGTACCCTTGTCAAAGGCATGGGCACCCCTTGTCATAGGTATGGGCACTCCTTGTCATACGCAAGGGCACCCCTTGTCATAGGCATGGGCACCACTTATCATAGGGATGGGCCCCCCTTATCATAGGCATGGGCACCCTTGGTCATAGGCATTAGCGCCATTGAACATTGGCATGGGCACCCTTGTCATAGGCATGGGCGCCATTGGTCATAGGCATGGGCGCCATTGAACATTGGCATGGGCACCCTTGTCATAGGCATGGGCTCCATTGGTTATAGGCATGGGCACCCTTGTCATAAGCATGGGTGCCACTGGTCATTGGCATGGGGACCTCTTTTCATAGGCATGGGTGCCATTGGTCATAGGCATGTGCACCCTTGTCCAAGGCATGGGCGCCCTTGTCATAGGCATGGGCGCAATTGGTCATAGGCATGGGCACCCTTGGTCATAGGGATCAGCGCCCTTGGTCATTGGGATGGGCGCCCTTGGTCAAAGGCATGGGCGCACTTGGTCATAGGCATGAGCACCCCTTATCATAGGGATGGGCACCCCTTGTCATAGGCATGGGCACCCCTTATCATAGGGATGGGCACCCCTTGTCATAGGCATGGG